ACTTACTGTTTTGGTTTCTGAAAGAATAACCAAAGTTATAGTTTGGCCTGGCTCTGCCACGTCATTTCCTCTTCTCCTTGGTCAGTTTCCCTCAAGGACTCCTTCTACAACCTGGCTGCAACTTACTTTTCCGCCTCATCTTTCACCAGTGTCTCAACCTTGCTGCACTACAGCCACACTGCAGGCCACTGAGCACGTGGGACACACTTCTGCTTTTGTGGCTGGCTACTAATCCTTAGGTATCAGCTTAAAAATCAGCCCCTCAGGGATGTCTTCCTTGATTTCTCAAGGGAGTTTAAGATTCCATATGGGCTCCCAAAGCCTTTTATTACTCTGGAATTACTTGTTTACAGTCTGGATTGCCAGCTAGAATGTAGACCTAAAGGCAAGGATCCTGCCTTTTTACTTACTTCGGCATGCCTCATGCTTAGCACGTGGTTGGCACTCAATAAATATCGACCATGGATAGAGGAAAGCAGCTAAGCAGGGCATCTAGGAAGTTTCCCCAGGTTGCTAAACCCCTTTACCCCACTTTGTCCCAACTGTAATAGAGCATATAATGATACAGACATTTCTATTCATCACCAAAGCTTTCTTGGGGAGATTGCTGTTTGGTTTAGAAGAAATATTTGGGTTAGCAAATATATGGTTAATAACAAAGACTCTGACATTAAATTTCTTGGCTTTGAATCATGACTCTGCCACTTAATGGCTGTGAAATCTTGGGAAGTTCTAAATTTCTTTGATCTCAGTTTTTCATGTATAAAATGGGGGTGATAATAATAGTAACCTACCTTGGATGCTTGTTAGTAGGATTATATGACTTAATACATATATAGGACTTAAGAGTTTCTGGCACATATACACACTTAGAAAGGGCTAAATATTATTGCTATTATTAAGCCATTAGGGAAGGGGGTGAGCTCAAGACCAAAGTCAGTCCCCCAGTTCTGCTGGTCAGAAGAGTGGCCTTGATCACTGTGGGCTTTGTGTTTTGCTGAGCACTTGTACAATGTTTGAGGAAAGTCGATGAAGCCAATTGGGGAGGAGATAACTTTGATATTGGCAGGAGAGGGAGAATTCATTCACACATTCAACAAGTATTTCCTGAATATCAATTTTGTACTAGACATAAAGGGAAATAAGATAGTCACAGCCCTTACAGAAGCTGACAGAAATGGAGAAAGGAGAGAGGAACTAGAGAGGCTGGGTACTGGCTGGCTGTTGGGAGGACAGACCATGGGGTGTGGCTCAGCAGAGAAGGATCCTGAGAGAACAGAAATGCTAAGGCAGGATTTTAAAGCATCTGCCTTAGGACGTATCATGTAAACCCTCCCCTCCACCTCTTCTATGAAATCTTCAATAAAGTTCTCATTGCTCACTGGAGAGAGCTCAAAGAAGGGAAGATAGCAGATAACGGGGTTATAGCTGCTGGGGGAAAGATGCTATAGGCAAAAAAAAAAAAAAAAAAAAAAAAGCCCTTCCTTACTCTTGAGCGCTGCCAGCAAGGAAACATTCTACTGCATGCAATATTTAATGATTATAAATGATACCCCCGTGCACTGCATAATGCAGCGCTCTTTAAAATGAATATGAATTAAACCGTACCAGCAGCAATCATATTAACCAAATCGAAGAGGCATCAGGAAACTAGGGACTCTGGGGAAAAAAAAAGCTGGAAGTCAGATTCTGACCACCAAGCAGCTTCACTGTGGTTAATTAGTCAAACTGCGATTCTTCAGCCATTCGAAGTTTGCAACTTTCTTAAATGTAAATATCCCAAGGTTTAAGTGTGGGGAAGGAAGTCTTTCACTGTGTATTTAACTGCTCCCATCCTTTTTAAACTTCCTGTTTTCTGCTTTTACATCATGTCACTATCTTTTAAAATGACAATTCAAGGCCAAGCACAGTAGCTTACACCTGTAATCCCAGCACTTAGGGAGGCCTAGGCCAGTGGATCACTTGAGTCCAGGAATTCAAGGCCAGACTGGACAACATGGCGAAACCCTGCTTCTACAAAAGAAATACAAGAGTTAACAGGGTGTGGTAATGTGTGCCTTGGTGGGCAGATAACCTGAGCCCGGGAGGCAGAGGTAGCAGTGAGCAGAGACCACACCACTGCACTCCAGCCTGGGTTATGAAGCCAGATCCTGTCTCAAAAAAAAAAAAAAAAAAAAAAAAAAAAAAAAAAAAACAGTTTAAAGAAATGTATGTGTGTATATATACATATGTGTGTGTGTGTGTGTGTGTGTGTGTGTGTGTGTGTGTGTGTGTATCTTTTTTTAAAAACGCAGCGGTCTAAGAAGTAATCAGCCATCAACCTAAACAGAACAAAACTATCAATTTGCCTGTTTCCAAGAATGAGATGAATAAAACTCGGTTGAAATTTACCTACACAACTTGAGACTTTAGGGGGAAAGTGAGAAATAAACTAGTGTTTTTCTTCTTAGATTTGTTTCCTGTGTAAACCCTGGGGTTTCTGCATCTTATAACATGAATACTGGTTAAAAAGATACATGATTGTTTATTGATGTTCTCAAAGCACTATGCAAATTCACATCACCTTGGGTATATTTTGCCCCTAAAGCTGTGAAAGCATTTTGTAGTTAACAAGGCTAAAGTATGTTAACTCAAATAGCTTGCTTTGAAGAAGATTTTTCCTTTAAATTATTAATATTAATGAGAAAATGAAGAGAGCTTGGGTGGTCAAGCATGAAATATAAATGAGTAGTTTTCATTTTTAAGACTTGTTATCCAGTGTCACCTGATGTTCAAATTTAACAACGCAGAAAATGACCTTACAATTTGCAGTATTATGAAACAACGCAACTTATGCCCCAGATTTTTTGACAGCAGTACTGAAACTATGATTTTTAAGTGTCACTTTCAAAAGACAAGGTCAGTGAAAACACTATACGTTTTTTATTGGCTAGATTCAGAAAAAGAGCTTGTCTGTCCTTTAACCTTTTTTTTTTTTTTGAGAGAGGGGCTTGCTTTGTCATCCAGGTTGGAGTGCAATGGCACAAACATGGCTCACTGCAGCCTCGACATTCTGGGCTCCAGCAGTCCTTCCGATTACAGGAGTGCAAGTCACCACGCCTGGCTATTTTTGTATTTTTTGTAGAGACTGATTTCACCATGCTGCCCAGGCTGGTCTGGAACTTCTGGGTGCAAGCCATCTTCCCGCTTTGGCCTCCTGAAGTGCTGGGATTACAGGCATGAGCCACAGCGACCGGCCACTAATCATATTTTTAAAATAAAAACTTAACTGAGAGGTTGTTAGAGCAAAGCAGAAATAAACCTAGACCTCTTTAAATGGATGCAAAGCTACCAGTGAAGTTCCTAAGGAGCCAAGTAATACAGGAAACATTTATTTTCTTATTAAAATGAGGATTTTTTTTTTTAGAGCAGAAAAAGACTTTATAAACCTTTTTTTCACTTTCCAGGGTCTAATAAGCCCCCGAATAGCAACCATTTCATATTCCCAGGCAGCCAGTGAGAAATGCAAGGTACAACTACAATCCGAGACTCAAGGAAATCAAGGTGGACACCAGACTTGGGCTTCTCCCATTCTACCACCAGAAAGAGAGAAATTCAAAGAAAGGGCAATGAAAAATGCACAAGTTTTAGCCACCTAGTAACTGTGACTACCTCCTTAAATGCGACTAATCCTAATTACAAGCTTTTCAGCTTGTTAGTGGCTATTTTTTCCTTTTTTAGGGCAAAGAAGAAGGGAGGAGAGGAGAGAGGAGGTAAGGGGGAGGAGAGGGCAGTTGGTGGAGCGGGGGAGGAGGGCAGGCCTCAGGGTATCACAATTTTGTTTTTAAAGAATGAATTAATGGCCAGAGGAGGTGGCTGACGCCTGTAATCCCAGCACTTTGGGAGGCTGAAGTGGGCAGATCACCTGAGATCAGGAGTTCAAGACCAGCCTGGCCAACATGGCGAAACCCTGTCTCTACCAAAAATACAAAAATTAGCTGGGCATGGTGGCTGGTGCCTGTAATCCCAGCAACTTGGGAGGCTGAGGCAGGATAATCACTTGAACCTGGGAGGTGGAAGTTGCAGTGAGCTCAGATCACACCACTACACTCCAGCCTGGGTGACAGAGTGAGTCTGTCTCAAAATAATAATAATAATAATAATTAATGTCCTTGGGTAAACTATGACATTTGTGCTAGCTTTTTAGATGTCCCAAGATTTGGTTGTTTTACAAGGATAATGAAATTCATGATGCGGTTAAGCAATGACTCAGACTAGTGCTAGAATTTTTTTAAAAGTTTTTTTAGAAATAGGTCTTGCTATGTTGCTCAGGCTAGTCTCGAACTTCTGGGCTCAAGGGATCCTCCGGAGAAACTAGGGCTACAGGCAGGTGTCACTATGCCAGGCTTAGTGCTAGAATATTCTATTTTACTTTAAAATACTCTATGGTCACTTTGGAAGGCATCAACATCAGCAATGTGCCATCTCCCAGAAATGCATTTCTACATCAAGACTCTCAAGAAATGGGAATTACTGTAAGGGCACACCCTTGAGCAACCATCACACTGCACTGAGCTCTTGAGGATATACTGGCAACATCTCTGCAGGGCAGAGAAGTAAAATGCCACAGAAGCAGAAGGTTTGGGGAGGAAAAATACGGCGTGCCTCTTATAGTGCTTTTCTACTGGAATGGGTTTCTTCCTGAGAGCTACATTCCTCCTGAGCTTTAAATATGTGGACCACTGAATATCACTCCGCCTTTCCTGAAGTTACAAAATACCTTCCATCGGTGGTGGGAACAGAGTTTGGAAAATTAAATGCCTAAGGTTTCAGATAAGCTAAATGACATACATGCAATAGCATCCCATGCAGAATTTTTTCAATCCAGTCCATTGCATCTAATTACCCAAAGCACAGAAACTCTCCAAACTGTGCACCCCCCAAAAGGAAGGAAAATGCAAGGTTCTTGCTGCAGTTCCTGGGACACTGCGTGCCGCTTTGTTACAACTGTATCCAATGTCCCCAGAACGAGGGACTTGTGGGGCGCGGCTCATTCCAGCGCCACTTGCTCTGCAGCTTTCAGACGTGGCGGTTGTGCTACCAAGGCTGACCCTATCAATGGCTGACAAGATGCTGCGCACCCCCAAGTGCTCGAGATGCAGGAACCACGGCTTCCTGGTGCCTGTCAAGGGCCACGCAGGCAAGTGCCGCTGGAAGCACTGCCTCTGCGAGAAGTGCTACCTGATCTCCGAACGCCAGAAGATCATGGCCGCACAGAAGGTGCTCAAGAGGCAGGCCGCCGAGGAGGAGCAGGAGGCGGCCCAGTGTGTGCCGGGGCCCGAGCAGGCCTCCGGGGCTGCGGCCGCCGCCCCTAGCCCCATCCGCGTCCCAGGCCTCCGCCCACTGCCTCCGGGGACCCCCTCCGGAGACGCGGAGCCGGGACCCGAGGGTGGCGCGGCAGCTTGCGTCTTCGAGCGGCCCCCGCGGGGCCGGAGCCCCGGCCCGAGCGCCTTCCGGCCCTTTCTGGGCGGCCGCGGCCACGTGGGGCCGAGCGAGCAAGCCGCCGTGGCGGTGCCCAGCCCTGCGGGACCCCCTTTCGGGGCGGAGACCGCAGGTAGAGGCTGCCCCGGCCTCCTGGACCTGCGCAGGCCGCTGCGGCCTATATCCAGCCCGCCGTTCGCCGACTTCGGTAAGTTGTGGCCTTGGTCCCGCGGATGGCTCCCGGAGCCGGCAGCCCAGGCCAGCCTGGATGGGCAGCTGGTGTAGGGGTTCATTCAGGGTGCGGAGAATGCTTTCCGTGGGTATCGGACATTCTGCTTGGAGAAACCCTTCTAACAGGGATTTAGATTGGGTACCTTTTCGCAAAAAGAAAAGAAAAGAAAAAAGAAAGAAAGAAATGGGCAGTTCAGAGGGCTTTTAACATTTAGTTGTAGTTTGCGCCATTCTAGCATACAACAACAAAATGGCGTCCAGTCCAGTGCTTCCTTCTCTGCGGGGAGGCCGAGGAGCCCAGTCCTACTGCGCTTGCGCTCCTCTTCCCGCCATTTTCTTGGGCTGGAGGCGGCTCCTCCAGAATTCCAGAATTTTCCTGCTGGGGGTTAGCGCAAGGACGACTGCGCCTGCGCACTTTTCCTTCCCAGTTCCCTGTGCGGTCGGGAGGCTCCTCCCCGGCCCTGGCCCAGTGCGCCTGCGCACCCTTTCTGCCTTGTTCCCACGTGCGGGTGAGGTGAGACTGTCTGTTTACTCCACTCCAAAGGACAGTTGGTCTTTTCTCCCCTCACCTTGTACATAAATTACATTGTTCCCTGAGTCTTGGAGCTTATGGTATTGAAGTACAGTTTCAAGTTACATGTACATTCGAAGCTTTAAAAGCCACAGGGTTCGGTGCGGATGCGTTTTCCTGGTGTCTCCCCATGGCCGCGCGGTGGGACGGGCCTGGGCCGAGGCAGGGGGCCGGGGGCCGCTGGCCCTGTCACGCGGGGCAAGCTCCTGCCCTCTGTGTGCCAGGGCGTTGGTCCGGATGCTCTCGCAGGCTCGTCCTGTCTTCCCGGCTATCCAGGAAAATCGAGATCCCCAGGAAACGCCCCGTCTAACGGGGACACAGGCCTGAAACCGCAGTTCTAGGAGAAGCCGCCTTTCTTTGTCCGTTCTCGACAGACAAGCGGGACTGAGCCGAACCATGAGGCAGGCATTCGTGATGGAGGACGGGGGTCCCATTTCTGCCCCTTAAGGACCTTGTCCTTGCGGGAGGGACAAGGTTGATCAAAGAGTCACACACATCGGTGTCCGGAGCTCGGGCGGCGGCCGGGTTCGCTGTGTCCCGGAGGAGGAGGAGCTCGGCACCGAGGAGGCGGAGGGCGGGCTGACAGCGTGCAGGGCAGCCGGGCGCTGCTGGCCGAGGGCGCGGGGAGGTCTGGAGGCGGCCCCGGCCCGCGGCGGCCTTGGTGGCCTTGCAGAGGACTCTCCAGAGTAGTGGGGCTGGCTGGAGGGTAGAGACCCAGTGAGGGCCCAGCGGAAGGAAGGGCGGGGCGGGCTGTCTGTGCGTGGACGGAGCGCTGATGACGCCGCCACCCTGGGCCTCCCTGCGGAATCTTCTCCCAGTGGTGTCTAACACTTCCCTCCTCGCTTGTCCTTCTTTAGGGCGCCATCTGAGCATCAACGCGGACCGTGCGCTGGGCCCTGAGTACCCCGGTGGCTCCAGCATGCACCCCTACTGCCCGTTCCCGCTGGGCTACCGGGACGCCCCTCCTGGCGTCCCCCTGCAGCAGGGCTTCCGGCATGTGTCCCGCAGCCAGTACCAAGGCGGAGGCTTGGTGAGTGCCCACCCCTCACTCCTTGCCAGCTTCTTCCTCCTCCCAGCTGCCCCTGCCGCCTTGATGGATCCTCAGTCCCAGGAAGCCAGCTGTCATAAACTGTGTGCCCGACTCCGTGCCAGCCCCCTGAATGCTGGTGGAGGGCAAGGCACTGCCCAGGTACCGTGTGTGTCTCTGGGAGCATACACGTGTGGACCAGTCTGCACCACTCGGCCTGGACTGTGGCCTGTGCTTTTCAGGGCTGTGGGCTGAAAGGCTCTGGGCTTCCCGGTGTCACCTGCCTTGACTCATGCTGATGCTAGAAGGGCCCTTCATTTTGCTGATCTCCAGAGAGGGAGTATCACTTCCTGGGACCACGAAGTTTAGGGCAGAGCCAGGACCAGAGGTAGGCTCCCTGCCCACAGGTATAGCACACTTGAGACTGCAGAGGGCTTTCAGGAGGAGGTGGCGTTTGAGCTGAGTGATGAAAAATACGGAACCCTTCCCCCAAACACCTGGCACCTTAGGAAATACCTGTTGAGAGAATGAAATTTATCCTTTTACAAAAGTCACTTGCTAGCTAGTGTTCTCACTGAGCTAGGAGTTCTGAGTATGGAGTGTGTAACGTCAGGTCACCCCTGTGGTGCTGTACTGCAAGGCAAGTGTGATTGGGTTTTATGGCTTGGTTACCAGCTCCTTCCAGACTAGGATGGCTAAAAGCCCCCTTCCTCCCTAATGAAAGTCATTAGCAGCATGGAGCCTATCCAGTGGGGCTCGAGCTGTGCCTGGGCAGGTCAGACACACAGGTCACCGGGTCCTCACTCCTGCTTTAGCCTGGCGGCAGCAGCATCTCTCCCACTTGTCTTAGATGTTGTAAAATTGTACTTAAAAACCATTTTTCATTGGTTCAAGGAAAGAAAGTTTGAAAGCCACTGGCCTTGATAATTCCAGGGTGCCTACTGAACCTTCAAGGTAGGTGTTATACCCAATTGTAGCATTGAGAAAAAAGGCTCAGAGAAGCTAAGTCTTTGGCCAGGGTCACAAAACTGGTGAGAGAGAGACTGGGATTCCAGTTACACAGCTGGTTGTTGACGGTACCAGGTCGTGCACCTCGACTGCCCTGACTCTCGAGCCCAGGCGCTATCCACTGCCCCTCCCTCTCTCATACAGAGGTAGAACACACCTGGCTTTTGACTTGCTGACGTCTGTGGGCACTGCCTGACACTGCTGCCTGCCTGACATCTGTGCACACTGCCCAGGGAGAGCCAGGCATTTCCAGCCTCCACACAAAGAGTGGGGCTCTGGCCAAGTAGAGCATGCTCCGTCTGCTCACGCAGAAGCCTGGAGCCTGGTGTCCAGGGCAGGGCTCTGATTGACAGGCCTACCAGACGGCCTTTGTTAAGAGTGTGATCTCAGTTAGTTTATCTGAGCCCAAGCTGCCACCACAGGCCCCAGGCAGGAGCTATGATCCAGGGAAACACTTGGCTGGGCAGCTTGGAATTAAAACACTAATAATCCCCCGTCCACCCTCTCGTCTGGAGAGAGGATCAGGTGTTGATTTGTGAGCTGTTTCAAGCCCAAGAGCCCCTGAATCACTTTCATCCTTGTCCTGCTGCCCCCTGCCGAGGCATGGAGGTGCTCCCCAGAGCAGCTTCCTCCTCCTCGTTCTTGTCCCTGCCCCTGCCCCACCTGCTGCTGCTGGCTTCCTCTGCCTTCCTATTCACAGGACAGCACAGGCCCTGGAGGTGGACAGACCTAGGGTCCAATCCCGCCTCTTCCGTCGTGTCCCAGCCACGTGCTCCGTGGCAGTTACCTGACCTCTGAGGGCCTCACTCGGTCTTGGTCTGTAAAATGGGGGTAGAAGGACCTATTTCATAGGGCTCCTGAGTAGAATAAATAAGGCGATGCATGTGAAATACCTAGCACAGGGTCTGGCACATAGTAGGTGCTTAAAAGTCAGGCTTTCTCCCCTGCCTGGTGGTTGAAGGAAGTTAGGAAATGCTGGGTTAATCTAAGGAGATTTTGACAGCTTCTTCTGAGCCTTTAATATACTCTTGTGTGACCCACTAATGTGGGGAGTACTATGTGGGGTTCCTCAAACTCACTTAACAAATAACACTTTTAAGAGTACTAAGAAATATCTTGTAGGACACCAGGGCTCCCTGAAACTCAGCTCAGGAAGCATTGCTCTGAGGCATTGAGAAGTGAGTGACAGGAGCTACATCTGAAAGTCAGTGTTATTTCTTAGGATGTTTGTGTCTTTCTCAGTTAAGCTCAGAGCTGTGTAGTCGTCCCCCTCCAGACCCTGTGCTGGAGCCTGTGCTGTGGGAAGGGGTTGCAGTCCATGCCTTGAAGAAGGAACAGAAGCAGCAGGTGCTGGTCAGTGAGGCCACTTGTCTGAAGTCACCAGCGTATCTTGCCTCAGAAACAGCTGCACTACACCCATATTGCCAATTTATTCTCCCAAAAGCCCCCTGGCACTTGAGTTTAAGTCACCACACGTGTCAGACAGGGGGTTCTGTGGGGTTAGGATGCATTCGGACCCTTCCCCAGTGCAGAGCAGTGCCGCCCAGTCAGCCAGCTTGGGATCCAGTTCTGCCATTACTGCAAAGCAGCTCTGGGGCCCTGGGCCCATAGCTTCATCGCACTGAACCTGTTTTTCATCGATACGAGGCTAGTAATAGAACCCCCCTCCTAGGTTCGTGAGTACCCCAGCACAGTCCCCCTGGCATATACAGAAGGGCTCAGTCACTGTGACCACTCAGCCGTTCCCATGCTTCTCTGAGGTTGCCTGTGCTGCTGCTTGCCTTCAGTAATTTGGCAGGTGTTTGCCGAATGCCTCCTTCCAACTGCCCTGTGCCTGTGTGTTTGGAGCTGTGCATCTAACCCATCAGGAGCCCGCAACTTCAGAGGTGAAAGCCATGTTTGGTCAGCCCATCTGGCTAACTCTCCCCCATCTCTGCCTCTCTGCTGTGTGTGCTGTGCAGGCATCGGAACCAGTGGGAGACTTCCAGCCAAGCTACTACCCGCCACCGCCGCCACTGCCACCCCTTCCACCTCTTCCACCGCAGCCCCAGTTCCTCCCACCAGGATACCTCTCTGCCCTCCATTTCCTCCCGCCCCCACCGCCACCACCACCTCCATCAACTTTCTCCCTGACCGTCCTGATTGATACCGACAAAGAGAACACTGGTGAGTGAGCTTCCAGGAGAGCCAGGGAGACTTTCTGGAGGAGGAGGTACCTAATCTGAAGAGAGATTAGGTGTGGAAAGTAAGGGACATGGAATTTAAAAGATGCTGAGCCCTAGGATGAGCTCTTTCTTAACCCCTTCTCCAGTCCCCATAAGCACAGATCTAAGGGAGGTAGGAATGGGATTCCAGGTGAGGAAACCAGGCCTCCGGCAGTTCTTGCAAGTTTAAATGGCAGAGCTGGGATTTGAATAGAGTTCTCAGTCTAGCTCCCAGTCCATCCAATGCCTGTTCATTCACCTTGTTGGCTCTGTGGGCAGAGCTGTGGAGGACAGCAGGCATAGGGTACATTTGGAAGACCAGAGGTGCCTGGCCTTTCCAGCTAGGACTGGGGAGCAGATGCAGAGCCTGGAGCAGTGGCAGGAGCCAGTGTGGTAGGGCTGTGCCTCTGCCCCAGGCCACTCTGAGGGAGCCAGACCAGGAGCTAGAGAATCTGTCCTTCACAGGTTCTGCCACTGGGGCACTGGATGATCCTGGGCACTGAGGCTTTTCAACCGTAAAATGAGCCCCTTTACTAGCTTACTGTGAAGGTCGAGGAAACTTATCGGATGTGAAAATGTTTTGGGTTTTCTTTTGAGAGCCCTTAGAGCTTTCAAGCTCCTAGGACTTCTTTCCTTTCTGTCTTCCCCTGGGGCTCCTGTGATTTGGAAAGAACTGACAAACTCAACTAGGCCTTTAAAATGACTGTCAGATCATCTTACGAGCTGGGGGAGTCTGGTGGTATCCCCACTTTACTGAAGAGGAAACAGGCCTGTTATACACTTCCTTTGTGTGCAGTGCCTAGATCCAGTAGCTGGAGAGGTACTGTTATGTGGCTGAAAGCCACTGGCCCCAGTGCTGGGTGGCCTGGGTATGAGTCCTGGCTCCAGCACTTGCCCAGCTGTGTAACTTGGGCAAGCTCATTCACCCTTTTGTACTCCAGTTTCATCATATGTGAAAGCAGACTAATAATGGTCCCTACCTCATGAGGATTCTGAGGATTAAACAGAACCTGGAGTGATGAAGGCATTGGTGAAGGTGACCTATTGCTGTCTGTTTCACTTAGTCCCCATGCTGCCACTGCAAGGTGGATACATCTCGCTTTACAGAAGGGGAAGCAGAGAGTCAGCTGTGGAGTATCTTGCTGATTCCTCCCAGCTTGTGAAGGGTAGCTGAGACCTGGAACTTGAATCTGAATCACATAGCCAAGGCTAGGATTCCAGGTTCCTGATGCCTAACAAGTTCAAGAAAATTCATTATCCCCTGGGGCTGGGAATGACGAGAAAGGCTTATGGAAAATCTGTATCTGGGCCAGGCACAGTGGCTCACACCTGTAATCCCAGCACTTTGGGGAGGCCGAGGTGAGTGTATCACCTGAGGTCAGTTCAAGACCAGCCTGGCCAATGTGAGGAAACCCCATCTCTACTAAAAATACAAAAATTAGCTGGGTGTGGTGCCGGACACCTGTAATGCCAGTACTTGGGAACATGAGGCAGGAGAATCACTTGAACCTGGGAGGCAGAGGCTGTAGTGAGCCAGGATTGTGCCACTGCACTCCAGCCTGGACAATAGAGTGAGACTCTGTTTCAAAAAAAAAAAAAAAAAGAAAGAAAGAAAAACTTCATCTGTAAATAGGTAGTTGTAGTTTGCCCTCTTTCTAAATCCAGCCACCTTCTTTGTCCTTCACAGATGACCAGGATGCAGAGGTGCCGCCGGGTGAGCCCAGCCAGCCGTCGTCTCAGGAGCAGTCCAAATAGGCCCCAGGCCTGCCCTCCCGGCCAGGAGAGTGGGGCACTGGGGACACCGGCAGTGATTTTCTTGTCTGCATTCAGTGATATGTGGGGAGGAAGGAGGTTGATAGGCATAGATAGCAACTGATTCCGAGTTCAAGTTGGGAGGGAGAGTGATTTCTAAGTTTCTTTCAGTCCTGCGCTGTGCAGTGAAGAGGAATGTGGAGGAAGCCATTACCAGGGGAGAGCTAGGGCTCTGAGGAGTGGGCGGCTGGGAGAAGCTCCCATTTAGGAATGAATTTAACTATTCTTGGGTTGCACTGCCATTTATTGGAATAAGCCCTAAGGCAGTATTTGATTTCCTCAGGCCCCACTCCAGCACAGGAGGCCCCATCTATTTCAGCCTTCTGCTGCCTTTGCCTGGTCCTCCAGGGCACTGGGGGGACAACAGACATCAACATTCCAGTTCATCCAGGTGGCTGGAGCCAGCAGCCAGGACCAGGGTCGTTGACAGCAGGTTCTGCAGCGTCCTGCTTTGCTGCTCTGTCTTGCACATCTTCCAGGCCACAGCCCCTTGCCCCTCCTCCAAGGGGCTTTACTAGCAAGCATCCTGGCTGCTGGGGCTACTTTATTTCCCCTCCATAAAGTTTCAGTCATAATGGGCATTGTTTCTGGTTTTAAAAAATTTATTAGTTTGACTATTTGATGTTTTTATAGTGATTGCCAACTTTAAAAAGTCGGCTGTTGATAAGCACTGAGGCAGTCCCCAGGGAATAGAATGGTGCCTCTGATCACCTGTGACATGAGCAGTTTCTTCTCTGGGGGCAGCTGGCTACTGAAATAAAATGAGCAATGGAAATCCTTGTGGAAGTTTATTCTCTCTTCGATCCTGGTGGAAGGCAGTGTTGGCAGGAAGTGGGGGGGTCTGGGTTTGTGGCCTGTGGGTGGCCTTGATGCACTGGCTTAGGCAAGGCCCTCCGTCTTCTACCCCCCACCCCGCCGCCTTTATCAAGTGAGGGGATTGGGCCAGGCTAATAGACTTCTTCATGTATCATTACTGTTGTTATTTTTAAGCAGTTGGAGACCTTTTAAGGAAATCTGATGTGGACACACAAAATGTAAAGATGTCTTTTAGCTTCCCTCCTCCAGCTCCTTTCAGAGTCCCTGCGCAGGAACATGCGTTTAAAAAAACAGAACTTGATCTCATTCTGTTTTAGGGTCCTGGACTTCTTACCTTGATTGCATTTTATACTTTCATTTTAAAAAACATCCTATGTCTCTTACTAGATTCAGAACCTGACAATTCCCAGCTCTGCCCATGCGGAGCATGACATCTAGTGGAAGAGACAGAGAGTCTTATGGGATTAATACTAGAACAGAGAGGGAGGGAGTCTGTGAGAAGTGGTCAGAGAAAGCCTTCTGCAGGAGTCAGGGCCTCAACCACATTGTAAGGGCTGTAATTAGGAGGAAAAGAGACAGATGGGTACTCCCAGTAAGGATGCAGAGGAGAATGGGGACCTGGTGTGAAGGATTCCAGGGTCGGGGCGTGTCCTGTTCTCAGTCGAGAGAAGGGCTGGCACCCAAGAGAACAGGCCAACTTTACTTCCTCTTTTGCCTATGGGCAGAGGTGTCCAGGCATCCTCCTAAGTCCTGGGATAGGTGGCAGGGGGTCACTGAGAAGTAATACCCTAATTATTCTCATGTCAGTGTGATGGCTGGGGCCCAGGGCCTGGGCTCTGCTGGAAGGCACTGGAGGCAGGCATTGTCATGGGAATTTTTCATTATTGCTTTATAGGCACAAGAGTGCTTTCAACAGGGCAGACTGGACATGCTGAGGCCTGAGGCCTGCAGGTCAGTCTGGAGAGGATGATGCAGTGATTTGGGACTAGCCTGGCTTGGGGGCTGAAGCTATCACTTAATGCCAGTGCTGGTCTTCCCCCTGGGGCCACAGTGCTGCAGGACCCTGAGGGGGTGGGAGAAGACATGCCTTCTGGTTCCACTTGACATCAGTCACCATCCCTAAGCCGAACTCCTGACCTGCCAGTACAGCAGGGTGGGGCTGGATAGGTAACCCTACTTTTTCATAATACTTGAAGTTTTATCTTAGACTCCACACTTTGGAAGACTTTCCAATCACGTTGCATTACTTAAATAAAGCTGTTTTCCTGTTTCTGATCAGCACACACAGAGAAGTTTGAAACAGTCCCTGTGGCCACATAGACACCACAACCATTCCAGATCAATGCAAGGTAATGGGATGTTTAGTTAGCCTGTGGGGAGATGGGAGGCTTTGGCCTTCAGAGAATAGTAATGTCCTGTTAGAGGGGTTCATGCCCACAGGACTCCAGGATGGGAGGATTTCTTATTTCTCCTGTAGGCCTGGGAGCTGATGAATCTCCAGAAATTGGTCAGCATCTTTCCTGGAGCCTCAAGAGGCACCTGTTGGGGTGAAAAGACCAAATGGGGCCAGGGGCTTGTCTCAGTGCTGTCCCCTGGCTTACTGGTTTTCAGGATGGGAGGCCTGCCTTCCTCCCTTCCCCCCAGTATGAACCCCAAATTGTAAGCACCCAGCCTGCCCTTTCCTGCTCCCCTTGGCTCACCACGGTTACTTCCCCTGGTAGGTGGTAGACCCTGCTCCCTGTAGCCTTTCCGGCCAGCCCAAGCCATGCTCCCTGAATGCCCAGCTCCTCCAGGCAGGCCTCCAGCAGCAACAGCATGAGCACTGAAAAACCAGGTCTGCTCATGTTGCTGCTCTGCACACAAACCTTCCGTGGCTCCCTCCTGTTCCTTCTAGCCGGACACGGTGGCTCATGCCTGTAATCTCAGCACTTCGGGAGGCTGAGGTGGGCGGATCACTTGAGGTCAGGAGTTGACCAGCCTGGCCAAAATGGCAAGATCCTGTCTCTACTAAAAATACAAAAATTAGCCGGGCGTGGTGGTGCACACCTGTACTCCCAGCTACTGGGGAGGCTGAGGCAGGAGAGTCACTTGAACCTGGGAGGTGGAGGTTGCAGTGAGCCGAGATGGTGCCGCTGCACTCCAGTGTCGGTAACAGAGCGAGACTCTGTCTTAAAATAAATAAAAAAATAATAAGAACCTACTTGCTGGCCTCTCCATCCTGTCCCGCGTCTCCCTCGCTGGCTGGCCCAGCCCAGGCCCTGGAGGATGTGGTGTCGTCTAGGCAGAAAACGATGGAAAACCGAGAGACTGGCACCCCAGGGGCAGCACTCCATCCGGGACGGCCAGGAGAATGTTCTGAAAGGCAACCAGCCGGCATTCCCTGACATGGGGTGCACTGGTGGGACGCCGCCCGGAGAGGGCACGACGACAGCAGTTGTGGACGGGGTCGAGTCTTGCTGCCTAGGACCGGCCTCCCCGGAGGAGCGTGTGGGCCGGTTGCTACGCCTCTGCTCCATGGGCTGGAGGAATAGGTTTCTGCAGCGGCCAGCTTGAAGCGCATCCCAAAGACGAGATTTCCCTCTAGGTTGGGCTATGCGATCGCGAACTCCATCAAGTCATCTTTGCGCGCCCCTGCCTGTCCTTTCTTTCCTTTTGGCACTTTTGTGCGTGGAGAGCCCTCTGCCTGGACTCCCCCATCTTCACCTATTGGCCTTTCAGACTTAGCTCTGGCTCCGGCTTCTTCAGGACACGAGGCCTCAGCCTCAGCCTGGGTTAGGAGTTCTGCCTACTGGGGCCTTAAGTCAAGGCCGCTGACCCCACTAAGTAGATGTCCCTCCCACAGGCCTGGGAGCTTCCTGGAGGCAGTGGCAAGGGCTCTGTAGTCTCTGTCCCCAGCTCCCAGTGTGAGGCTTGGCCCTGGCTAGCCCAGTGCATGCTGCCAATGGATGCATGGATCCAGGGCATGTGTGGGCTTCCGGGTAGAGGGTTCAGTTGCCCAGCCTTTGGCCACCTACCGCAGTATCTTTTGCCTTACATTTTTGCTCTGTTGGCTGGGACATTACACAGGGGTCAGAAAGTCAGCTTTCATTGAAACTGCACTCTGTGCCAAGCCCTGTGCTCCTTCCCTGGTTTAATCCTCACTATGACCCATGTAAGGGATGCACTGTCATCCCTGTTCTATAAAGGAAAGTGGGGCACACACAGGGATGGAGATTTGCTCAAAGTCACACTGTTGTAACAGAGCCCCTGGTGTAACAGAAGTGTGGACAAGGGTGTGCAGAGGGCAACATGCATCCCTGTGGACCAGTTAGGGAGTTTTTAATACACATTTTGCTTACCATCCTGGGATTTTTTTGAACACAGAACCGATGACGCGCCCTAGTTTCTGGGCAAATTCAGGTGCAGCATAGCGAGTGCAGCCTAAGGGCATTTACCTCCTGAACCACTGCCCACCCACCATAGCATGCAAGGCCCCAAGGGAATCCTAAAGCTGGCATCTGGGTGAGGCAGTGGGAAGAGCCCTCAGGGTCTCAGGTATAACGTCCCACAATGCCAGAGATTTTTAGCATATCTGCTGTTTGAGCTCCTGCTGTGGCCTGGGCTTCACCACGAGCCCCACTATGTGAGATGAGATTAGCAGAATGCTTGCTGTTGTGCCAGGATGGAGCAAGGTAGGGAGAGGTATTTTTAGAGACAGGGTCTCACTCTGTTACACAGGCTGGAGTGCAGTGATGTGATCATGGCCCACTGCAGCCTCAACCTCCCAGGCTTAAGCATCCCTCCCTCTTCAGCCTCCAGAGTAGCTGGGACTACAGGCATGCTGCCATGCCTGGCTAATTTTTAAATTTTTTGTAGAGATGGAGGCTATGTTGCCTAGGCTGGCCTTGAATTTCTGGACTCAAGCAGGCCTCTCGCCTTGGCTTCCCAAAGTGTTAGGCCTGAGCCACCACACCCAGCCCACTCTTCTGAGGACAGTGGGGAAGAGATGCTCTGCTCCCTCTTGGAGACAAAATGTGACCTCAACGCCTGGTGGGGAGGGGGATGAGGTCCTCTCTTTGCAGTCCTGGAGATTCTCACGGCTCCTTCCACTGCTGGGCACTATGGTCTTGGTGGGCCTGGCCTAGGCCCCTCTTCCCGGGGAGCTGCATAAGCCAAGGCCGCCTCTCCTTGGCTACGGCTGGGATATTTGGACCCCGCTCTTTTGCCTTTTCTCTTCCTAGCTGTGTACTGTTGGGCTCATCATGTGATTTTTCCAAGCCTTGCTTTGTCCTCTGGTAACGTTGGTTCAGTGGTGCGCTGAGGATGCAGGAGCACTTGTGTGAAACACTGCCTTTGACAGCACCTGTGTCGTTGGATGGTTGAAGGCAGTGACCTTTTTGAGACCGTGTCAGAGGGTAGAAATGACTAAGGCCCTGTGCTGTGGCTCTGTACTCCCTAGTGCTCCCCCGACGCCAGGCACTGTGCTGAATGCTTCCTGCACATTTTGTCTCAGCCAGGCAACCAAGTACCTCTTACAGATAGCAAAACTGAGGCCTGTAGGGATTAGATTCTTTCTCTCACTCACCCTGTCCATAAGTGGCAAGTTCAAGTTCCACCTGAGGGCGGAGCTGATTTCCTAGCTGTCCTGTGTTCTCCTGCTTCTCTGGGAGGGAGTCTTGGGGAAGGGCATTCCCCAGGACTTGATACCCAGCCAGGGTTCTGTGGATGTGGACAGGCCAAAAGGAAAGAACAACTCGCTCAGGTCCTACATGAGGAAGGAAATCATTTTTTAAAAATTTCCAAAGCCTTTAATTTCATTTTGAAAATGATGAACGAACAAACGTGAAGTTGATTTTTTGAAAAACATGAGTATTAACAGCACATTAAAATTTAAGCCTTAACCCTTTCACAAAGTAGGTAGGAAATTTTTCAGTATTAGTGCTTTTAGTTCAAATGTAACCTGGGGAATAGTTTTGATTT